AACATTTTTGGGACACCCTGTATATTCGTATTCCTGTGAGTCGTATAGACAGGGATACCAGACATTGATTTATCCGGGGGCCTATTATGCTATTAAGACGGCCCTGCCATGAACATAAACATAGGGTGCGTTCCGTTTCACGCATCAAGCGCACCGACCGCATAGGGAACCGTTCCGTATCATTCAATGCACGCATCAGAGCGCACAAAATTCCCCGAAGCGTGCGAGTGTGTCACTGTTGGCAACCGGAGGAATTTTCCCCTAGATTTAAGGGGAAAATGTATGAGCTGGGATTTTTTTTAGGGGAACTTTTCAGGGACACATTTTTTAGAAGAATTTTTTTTAGGTGTTTTTCAATGGCGGCGGCAGGAAAAGATACGAAATATGTAAAATTGTAAGAGAATAGCAAATTTTGATTAATTATACCTTGTAAACTAGATAGTCAATTCTTGCGTGGTAGACCAGGGTTCAAATCACCTAGTTGCATTCATCTTTTTTTATTTATTTATTTTTATGCGTGACAACACTTATTTATTTTCAAGTAAATTTTAAATAAAATATTTTTATTTGTGAGAAATTTTAATAAATATATAAAATATTTCAGGGAGTTTTAAATAAAATTTAGGTGTTTTTAAGTAAAATTTAGGTATGATTGTAGAAAACGGGCTGTAAGCGATTAGGATGATGAAAAGCATCGTATATTGAGTAATTGTGATCGTACATCTTTTCTATCCCATTGTCCATACACAACATAGGTATATTTGATTTTTATTGAATGATGGATTTAATATAACAATTGTGTTGTTAAAACTAGTTTCGGTATAAATATACATCTATGTACAAACATATGGCTTAGGTTTTAAATAAAATTATAGTACAATGTACAATTTCTATTTTGTGTGTTAGGTGTAGTAAAATACTGTTAATTATATTCAAGGAGTAGTTACGATCTATAATAGATTAATTAATTTATGTATCATAATTAAGGCCGGTTCAACGAAACATTTGGCAGTTTCCTGGCTCCATAAATCGTAGGTACAAAATGTGCCAAACCCTATTACCCCGTTTTAAATGTTATGTACACTTTTATCGATGTTTTCGCAGAAGTTAAGTGTCACTCGATAAGTACATACATAGGAAAAAGCTAAGTCTCGTACCGCGATATTTAATACTATTTAAAAAAAAAAGTACCCAGTACACCGGTCAGTATCACAGCTACTTTCTGCTCTTTCGATTTCAATGCAATTACAATTAAACTGTACTATATGCGGGCAATTACTTATCCTGTGTACATGTGTGGCTATAAATCAAGAGAAGGGAAAGAGAGAACAGTTTACTGCGATTTAACGTTATACAGTATGTTAACTACAGCAATGTAGGAAACTTTAAGTTTTTGCAATGTACTGCAACCGAACGCAAAGTAGTCTGCGTACGGCGAGAACTTGATATTCGTATCACTTATTGACATATAACATCAATTAGCAGAGGAAATCCTTTGGTCCGACACTTTCTCCTTGACAAATCATTACTAATTTATCTGGAGATCATATAACTGTTTGATCCACTGTGCTATGTCCGCTAAGTCATGTACACTTTAGGAATCATAATGACCTTTAAGTAACGGTTGTAAATGTCTATTTAAAAAAGATCTAATCATGTAAATTCTTCATCAGTTTCTCGTAACACCACATATCATTATATTTGGCAGTGCTCCGCGACGTTTTCGCCATGCACCAAGAGATTGTGCATGAGCTTGCAATGTCCTACACCACCTTTTTGTTCTGGCTCCATCTTCAGCCTATAACAAAAGAGATTTTCTTATAATAACACTCTATCAAGAACAGTATGGGTTTCTTTACTTTTCTGTAGTATTATAATGGATTACACATTCCATGGATTACACATTAAATTAAAATTTTTTAATTTTCTCACTTATTTGAACAATGATTATGAAAGTAAGAAAATTTTGTTTGAAAATGTACTAATTTGTATTTCAACAAGAAGCATTTAGAAGAAGTAAGAAGAAGTAAGCATTTACCTTAAATATAAATGTTTCCTTGGAATATAGTTCTTGAACTTCAAAATAATCTTCAAGATCTGTTTCACAGCATACTATACACTTATCAAGATACAGTGGTTCCTAAGATAGACATTTTGCATTACGGTATACATTTCAATTAAACTTATGAATATATAGTGTAAATTCAAACTTTTGAATTGACTTACGCGTAATAACGAATACCGTCCAAATTTTTCTTTTACCAACAAGAGGGTAGCCTCCTTGATGCCTATATATCTTGGAAAAAGAAAGTCGTCATTAAACTCAAGGTCTTCTGCACTTGGCTGTAACAGAAATACATATTATGCATAATAATGAGCTATAGATTCAGAATGTTTTTGAATATACCGTTAACAAATGAAAATTATATTTATTTACTTTGCCATTGGTAACCAACATAGCAGTAACAGGAGCGAGCTTGACAGTACGTCCGCGTCTCCAATTATTATCGGTTGGCTGAGCAACTAAAAGACGTCCTTCCAAAACAAATTTGGCTTCTTCATGGGCCCATTCTAATACTTCCACGGCCATCTGTTATAATAGACGCATTATTAGAGCCTATTCATATTGTAAAATTCTTTATATTCTGAGTTAGTGTAAGTTTTTGCAGCCTGTCATTTAAGTACTTTGTAACTTATTTTATATTTATTTATAAAAGGGCGAATCGATGCTGTGTCAGAGGACTGTCTTATGTCAGTGCAGACTTTCTCTAGTTTCTTGTTTCTCTTAGAAAAAGACTTTTTTTCTCAAGTCAGTGATTCTGAAGTGAAGAGAACTTATTCTCAATTTTGAATAACGTCCTTTCTTATGGCACTTACTTAGTATTCATTTAAAGTGAATTAGTACATTAAAGTACAGAACATGCCAATAATTTATTTTTTAAATATTTTATTTGTAATAACTGCACTGTGTGAAACAAATATCTTTGAATTACCTTTCTCAATTTTATGTTCACCATATCTTGCTCCCCAATTGGTCGTCTACCATTCTGAATGATGGAAATTCTTCTCCAAAGCTTTGTTGAAGTTACATCCTTCGCTTCCTGTTGTTATATTATTGAATGATGTAATAAAGTATGTAACATATAAACAGTGTCATCTTAAATAATCAATTATTTTTATTTAAAATTTGCATTATTTGCGTGAGTGATATATTTACAGCATTCATATGTTCTAAGTGCAACTCGATGTTCGATTGAGCCTGTTTAAGTCTTTCCTTGGCTTCTTGAATGTCTGGTCGCACGGATGGAGTAGCTTTCAACAATCGTGCCAATAATAAAGGATATTTTGTCACTCTTTGAACAGGAACCTTAAACAGAATTATGGTATGTTTATAATGATCCATAAGGGAGAAGAAATTACAGAATGTACATAAAAAAGATGTATATTATGCCATCAATTTTCCATAAATATTGGAAAGCGTAGTACATTTCATGTTTAAAACATTGGTGACATAATTTTAATTAATTCTTACCATCAAAAAGGAATTTAAATTCATCCTACGCAAGACTGTGTTTTCCATCTGTGAAACTTTCAAAAATATTCGCAGTAGCTCTTTCTCTTTTTCCAAATTTTGTAACAGTAAACTTGCGCTCCCTTGCCGGGTACAGTAACTTTCAAATGCGTGAAGCATCCGTTCGGACTCCAGAAAGATTTTTCCTACGTCCACCGTTAATAGATCTTCGTCTCCAGATTCCTGTTTACCATTTAACGATTATGTATTAGTCCCTGTCTACAATATTCTCTTATAATATATTAGTAAGTATCGTAATTTGTTACTGTGATCTGTGCGGTTCTCGAATATAGGAATTCTGTCTTTATCAGCTTTTTTCTACAGGGTGTCCCAAAACTCGGGGAGGAGCCGGAAATGGGGGGTAGCTGAGACGATTCTGAACAACAATTTCCTTTGCAAAAATGTCGG